CTTGGGCCCAAATCCATTTGCAAGCAAATATCACATCGTTTTCACCCAGTTGAAATTTGGAGCCTGTAAAGTGTTGGCAGGAGTGTCTGTCATTCTTTCTTCTCTTGTTTTCCAGAATCATCACTTATCTTTACTGGCAGATCACAGAGGGGAGGAAGGTGATGATCAGACTACTTCATGAACAGATCATTAATGTAAGTCTCCTTGCCCCCCCTCCATCCTCCCTCCTTTTTTAGACATTTTATAATGGAAATTTCTGAACATCCTCCAAAATAGAATAGTACAATGAACCCCCATATATCTACCACTCAGTATCAACATTTGTATACTCTTACTTATAAATCTACCTACTTGTGAAAAATCAACCATTGAAAACTATGGAGCACAGTTCTACTCTGACACACATGGGGTCACCATGAATTGGAATCAGCTACACAACACTAGTTTCATTTCATCTACACTACCCCTTCCCTGCAAATCTCTGGATTATTTCAAAGCAAAATCTAGGATACATAATTTCATCTGTCATAACTTCTGTATGAATCTCTAAGAGAAAAATATTTTAAAAACAACATAACCACAATACAATCTCACACCTAAAAGAAAACTTATCAATAATTCATCAGTATCATTTAATATCCAGTCAATGTTCAGATTTCTCTACTTGTTCCATTAAGTGTATTTTTACAATAGGGCTGCTCAAATCAGGATCCAGAAAAGGACCACACACTGCATTTGATTGATATGTCTCTTAAGTTTCTTTTTTTGGAAAGGTATTCCCCCCCGCAAAAAAAAACCCATTACCATTGAGTCGATCCCAACTCAGAGCGACCCCATAGTGACCCTACAGGACAGAGTAGAACTGCCCCATAAGGTTCCCAAGGAGGGGCTGGTGAATTCAAACTGCTGACTTCTTGGTTGGCAGCTGAGTCCTTAACCACTGCACCACCAGGGCTCTTGAAAAGGTACAAGGAGTGTCAGATAAGTATAGAAAACCTATGCCTAGTCACAATTACAGTGAAACTTAAAAATACACAAGACAGAGAAAATTCCAAAAGCTTCTGTAAAAAGCAGATCACCTACAAAGGAATAAAAATAAGGCTGATTTCAGAGCTTTAAACAGCAATACTGGATGCAAGAAGATGATGGAGTAATATTTTTAAAGATCTGGAAGAAAAGAACTTTCATATACAATATTATACCCAGCTTAACTGTCTAAGTATGAACACATAATAAAAATATTTTCAGCTACAAAAGGCCTCAGAAGTTTTGCCATGCAGATACACACCTCGAAAGCATTGTTATAGGAAGTATACAAATTTAAAGAGAAATAAATCCAGGAGAATGTTGTGAGAGATTCAGGAATTAAGGGAGATCAAGGTCCCTGAGTGGTGCAAGCAGTTTGCCCTCAACTACTAACCTAAAAGTTGGCTGTTTGAACTCACTTAGTGGCTCCATGGAAGAAAGAACTGGAGATCTGCTTCCATAAAAATTAAAGCCAAGAAGATCCTATGCAGCTGTTCTACTCTGTAGCACATGGGGTTACCATGAGTCAGAATCGACTCAATGGCAGTGGGTTTTTAAACAAATTTTTTTTATTGTGCTTTAAGTGAAAGTTTACAGTTCAAGTCAGTTTCTCATACAAAAATTTTTACACCCATTGTTATGTGACCCTAGTTGCTCTCCCTACAATGTGACAGCAC